ATTCTTGACAGCAGTCCACTGTCATATATGTAGTTTTCAAATATTCTTTCCCCATCTGTACCTTGTCTTCTCATCCTCTTAACAGTGTCTTTCACAGAGGAAAGGTTTTAATTTTGATGAAGTTCAAGTTATTATGTTTGTTCTTTTATGAATCATGCTATTGGTGTCATGTCTAAGAACTCTTTGCCTAACTCCAGCACGTAAAGATTTTTGCTATTTCTCTCAAATTTTTAGTCTTACATTTAAATCTTTGAATCAACTTTTGCATAAAGTATGCATTTTATATTTGAGATTCTTTTTTTTTTTCATACAGAGGATATATATCCAATTGTTCTAACACCATTTGCTGAAAAGACTATTCTTTTTCCTGTAAATGTTATACCTCTATCAAAACTCAACCGGGAAGCCGGGGTGGCTCAGTGGCTGAGCCTCTCCCTTTGGCTCAGGTCGTGATCTTGGGGTCCTGGGATCAAACCCAAATCAGGCACCACGGGGAGCCTGCTTCTCCCTCTGCCTATGTCTCTGCCTCTAAGTGTGTCTCTCATGAATAAATAAATAAAATCTTAAAAAAATAAAAACAAAAAAACTCAACTGGCCATATTTGTTTCTGGACCACCGATTCTGTGCCAGTCTAAGCGTCTATCTCTTTACCAATACTACAGTCTCCATTATTGTGGCTTTATGTAGAAATCTTAAAACTGGGCAGCACGCTTCTTGCTTTTTAAATTAAGAATGCGAAAGTAGCATTCAGTAAGGCTGACAATATCTACATAACAAATTCTAGTTTCAAATTAAAATTAATATTTTGGAAATAGGACAGAAAGAAAGCAAATATGAGGGAAAGAACGCAAAGAGGGAAATGAGAAAAAAGTAAAAAGTAGGAACATGAGATACACAAGAGGTAGAAACACAGAAAGAAAAAGAAGGAAATAGAAAAAGGAACAGGGAGAGGGAGGAAAATAAAAAGAAATGGTTCTCTACATATCGGATCTCAACCCCTAAACCTAAGCAAGTGAATTGAAACACCTTCCAATTACTACTATTCACCAGAGCTAGCTAATGAGAGCGGGTCAAGGCTACATAACTCCCCAGACCGGGAACCCCATCCTCCTAAAGATCTACAGTAGGCCAAACACTTTCCTCATTATATCATCCAAAACAAGCAATTATCATAAAAGCCACTTCAATTTTTATGTAACCCATTACAATAGGTTTATTTTTTTTTAAAGATTTATTTACTTATTTATGATAGACCGAGAGAGAGGCAGAGACACAGGCAGAGGGAGAAGCAGGCTCCATGCCGGGAGCCCGACACGGGACTCGATCCCAGGACTCCAGGATCCCACCCTGGGCCAAAGGCAGGCGCCAAACCGCTGAGCCACCCAGGGAACCCTACAATAGGTTTAAATAGGTTTAAATACTTCTATATAATTCCCTGTTCACATACATAAAGGGACAGATTTGATGGTCAGCCTGGAATTTCCTTAACTACAACATTCCTGGGTACTAGGTTGAGATGTTTCTTTTTTTTTTTTTTTAAGATTTTATTTATTTATTCATGAGAGACACAAAGAGGGAGAGGCAGACTTAGGTAGAGAGAGAAGCAGGCTCCATGCAGGGAGCCTGATGTGGGACCCGATCCCGGGACTCCACCAGGATCACGCACTGGGCTGAAGGCAGACATTTAACTGTTGAGCCACCCAGGCATCCCATGGTTGAGATGTTTCAAAGAGAAAAGCATCTGGTTCTCTTTGGAGGAAATATCCACCCGGTCCAGCTCCCTGGGTTGCCATGAAGATCAAATGAGATCATGGAAGGGAAACTGCTTCATAAACTGAAATGTCTTTTACAAATATATATAACTGCCTCTCCTTATCAGAAGTGTAGGGCCAGGATACTTTGTTCGACGCAGATGACAGCAGCTGGCTCAACCATGTAGACCTTTTAGTGAAATCTACTACAACAGTTTTCAGTAGCAGCAAATTCAGAACTCTTTCCAGACACTGGCATTAGAAACAGGAAGGACGTGGTTCAGGTGGTTCAGTAACTAGTTCTAGGCACTTCTCTGCAACATCTCTGATTTACGGACATTTAGATATTAGGATCTTTCCTTTCTTAAATGCTAAAATTCACTCTATTATCTATACTTATCTCTTTGATTCTTGAGGGAAAAAAATCACAGTTAACAAATGTAAATGTAGTCACAGAAGAAACATGACACACAGTCTTCTAAAACTAGAAATAAGATTGGACACGTTCCAAAATAAAAGCTTAGCTCATAATTTGTTACAAAATTCTCCAACATACGCTGTGTGTGTGTGTGTGTGTGTGTGTGTGTGTGTGTATTTTCTATCTTTAAAAAATGCTCTAAGAGCCTTTGGTATTTCATGTAACTTTCTCTAACTCACAGACCCAAGAAACCACCCACCCCCTGCCATATTTATAAGTGCTTTGGTTGATTATGTTTACCTTACTTCCTTTATTTGACAACTTCCTTGAACACAGCTGATCATTTCATGTATTATCTAGGACTTAAAATAATTCAGGAATTCTATAAACATTCAAACACATGTTGGCCAGGCCAAATATTTCTTGTTTATTATGGTGTGTTAACTCATTCAATCACTGATTTATTTAATAAATTAAGTCAACCTCGTGTGAAGGAAATGGAGGTGATCTAGCACACCATAAGAACACAGGCGTCAGACACAGGCATCTCAATTCCAATCCTGACTCTTCTACTACCAGCGGAGAGACTTTGGAGAAGTTAATAACTTTGGCCTTATTAACTTCCTAATCTTTAAAACCAGGATAACACACTGTATCTACCAATGTTGCATTAAATGACGATAATGTGACAAAAGAGCACATCACTGGTCCTTGAATATGTTAGTTCCTTACCTGCAGCAAGAGCGCTTGGCTTCCCATTCCAGCCTCCTTGATACTACTTATAAAGGCCCCCCATTCATAAAGCTTGATATTTAGAAGCATGTTCCCTACTCTTCCCAGAGCCCTGGCACACAGCTGTGAGGATCCTGAGCACCAGTCCCGAAGCTGCATGCGTCCAACAGCTGCCTTCATGCTCATTAGCTCATTCTCCATTCAAGGCACATGCTCCTTAAAAATGATTCTACATATCTAAATAGAGTTCATCCCAGATTAATCTAAGAAATTAGCAAACATTGGTAGTTAACTCATAGAACTGCCACCCAGGAAAATGGAAAGCTCTGAGTTTTCAGATGGCAAACAATGGAAGAAAATACTACCCCCTTTATGATTCACAGGTATTAGAAATGTAAAGGGAAAAATATTATTTAATGGACAAATATAATGTGCTTGTGCACCTGATGTTTTAAAGGGGGACACATGATGAAGTCTTCATAGTGACACGAAGCATGCTCGTACAGTCAGCGCTGGATGGTCGGCTCCTACAACATGCTCCGATTTTACTCTCCTGAGGACTCTGGAAGCCTCCTGGGGCACAATGAATGTTACCCCACTTAAAGTCACAATAGAACAGATTGGAAATTACTCATCCAGAGAATCTTTTAAAAGTGTTCTAGCTAAGTTGTGATGGGGTACAAGCAATTACAGTTTCCCAAGAGAAATAATCACTTACGAATTCCCAATGAAGCATGGCATGCAGAACCAGGGCTAGAGTTTCCACTGCCTGACGCTAACAAGCACTACGGTCTCAGAATAAGCTAAGATCACCCAAGATCCTAATTAAAAGTTGGATGAGCAAGCCAGAAATAACTGCCAAATGGAGAGACAACTAATTGCCCCAATGACAATCCTTATATCTGTAAGCCACAGATTGTCAATGAAATTCTATAAAGAAGTCCGAAGCTAAACATGCAGCAATGTCTGGTCTTAACCTTGGTGCTGGTGGCCACCCTCACACTGCCCTGCAACCTTTTGCAGCAGCTAGTCCACAAAGGACTCAAAAAAATAGTTCAGGTAGGAATAGATGGTTTTCTCTGCTCAAAACCATGGGTTTTAGTGGCCCCAAACTGTCTTACTAAATGTGTTGTAAGAACATTCCTCATTTTTCTTTTTCTTTCTCTTTTTTAAGATTTTATTTATTTATTCATGAGAGACACAGAAAAAGAGGCAGAGACACAGGCAGAGGGAGATTCAGGCTCCCTGTGGAGAGCACGATGTGGGACTCAATCCCAGGACCTCAGGATCAAGCCCTCGGCCAAAGGCAGATGCTCAACTACTGAGCCACCCAGACATCCCTCATTTTTCTTTCAGAAGAAAAGAAAGCAATGTTAAGGGTCCATATTCTCCATGTCTTCTTTTAATCCCCCTCTGCTTCTCAGCCCTCTGGTGGGCCTCTCTGTCAATAACCGCACACTCCTCTTTTCAGGGCAGTGCAGTTTCATTCCTCTTTAATATTGTCCCAGTCCCTGAAGCTTAGGGAGGTCCCCTCTACCTCCATCAGTGAGAGAGCCTAGCATGTAAGGAAAAGGAAAGTCTAAGCAGAAAAACGTGAATTCTTTCCTTGGATGATCAGGTGGTAAATGTCCAATCACAAAATATCACTAAAACATGAACAGAAACATTTGGAGAAAAGCAGACATACATGCCTGGGGTTCATCAGGGACATCAGAGAATTCTAGTACAGCTCTTCATACAGGCCCTGAGATCCGCTTAAAGATCAGACCCACTCGGCCACTGACTCCCGAATACATCCCTTCTCACTGCTAGAAAGGCCCAACCCAGAGCTGCTCTTTCACCCTCTGAGATCTTCGAGAAGTACTGGAGCCATCCTGGCCGGTGTGCACAAGGCAAGGGCACGCTCTACAGACCCCAGACCATTACAATAGGCTTTACTGTAACCACACATGGAGTTCCTCACTCAACAAATACCAAGTAGGAGCATCACACCACTGGACAAGAGAGAGTCTTCCATGTGAGGAAGTTTCCAGAGACTGGCCAGATGCAGTCCCCTCCCCAAATTCCCACCCCCCCTCGAGTTTACTCGTCACCGTTACCTATACAAGTGACGATTGTCTTCAAAATCTTCCTGACCCCATTTTCCCTTGATGTCTTCAATAACGTGATTCTTGAGGAATTTTTTCAGCAGCTGGACCGTCTGTTTGCGGGTCACCTCGGGGCCAAAGTTCTGACTGCACCTCAGCAACTCATGCAGCCAATCCACGGCCTCCGCCGCTGTGAAGCAACGATCATAACTCTTGAAACGACAGCGATGTTTCCGTAAGGGCATCCTGGTGCGGAAAAGCTCCACCGTTTCATTCCACTGGGGAAGAAAGGGAGAAGGACATTCAGGAATGAACGGAATTTTTTTTAAAGGTTATTACGTCCCAAATATTTAAAACAATGAATGCATTTCTTCCGATGAAAAGACTGCCTCGGTGACAGACACTTGAATTTTTTTTAAATTAGTTCCATGCCCAGCATGGAGCCCAAGGTGGGGCATGAACTTGAGATCCTGAGGTTAAGACCTGAGCTGAGATCAAGAGTTGTTTGCTCAACCAATGGGGCCACGCAGGTGCCCCAAGCCTTGATAATCTCTTATTTACAACCTTCTCACTCAAAATTTAAAAAATAACTTTTAAAAATGTATTCTACTCATTCATTCAGTGAGTATTTAAGGAGATTTTACCATCAAGTTGTTCCATTATGTGAACTTAATGGATTCTTACATTAATAAGAAACAAATGATCAAAACCATGGGTAAAACTGAGGCCAGTGCTGTGTAATTCACTTCTTGAAGCCCTATGTTTATTATGATTTCACCTCATTCAGCAAATATGTACTGTTTATTACATGAAAAGCATTATAAGGAGAAAAAGAGATGTACAAGACATAGTGTCTGATGTCAAAACATGTTTTAAAATTCTGCAAAATATTTTCCTATTTAAAAAAAATAAAACTAGACATCCACCCCTTCATCAGCCTTCCTTAGATTAAATGAAATGTTCACATATGGTATCCTTCCTACATAATTACACCAGCATCTTTTTTGGACCCTAGGCTTTCTGCCAGCCCTCCTAAAAATCCTGGAAACTCATGGTCTTACTCTCATAAACCATTCTCCCCTTCTCCCACTCTTCTCTTTCAGGTGATCATTGCACAATCTTTACTTTTCACCTCTCTTCCTACTGATATCAGAAAATCTTTTTCTAACAATTCCAGTTCTGATCTTGGTATATTCTTTGTGTTTTTTTCCCCCTTCTGGCTCCTTGTTTTCCCTTCTGATCAGGCCTTTTCTTCCAGGTTTCTCTTCATCCCTCCTCCTGCCCAGCCTCCTCTGCAACTATTATCCACTTCTCTTCTACACAACACCAGAGGCTTGCAGGACCAAAGCCACGTGTGTGCAAGAACGCAACCTGGCCATGGGGCACAGTGCCCAACACATGGAAGGGATTCAACAAGCAAATGCTTAATTGGTCTTTCACTTTCTCTACTTTCTTGAACTACCTTCTAACTTGATGCGATTTAATTACACTCTGATTCCGAATCATGTCTTTCTCCTAGCTAAATTCAAATATCATTTTGCCTTATGTATATATTAATCTTTCTACTTCATTTGACACTGCTTTATGCCATTCTCCAAATTAAGTTGGTCCAGATTTAAACAGTTTTTAACATCTTAAAAACACAAAAGAAACAAGGCAAGCCACTGCAGGATAACATTTAACTAGAATTTCTAAAACAAGAGAACAAAAAACTTAAATCAAGAAGGAATAGACAAAAAAAAAAAAAAAAAAAAAAGGAATAGACAAAGGCAGCCTGGGTGGCTCTTGCACCACCTTCAGCCCAGGGCCTGATCCTGGAGAACTGGGATCGAGTCCAGGCTCCCAGCGTGGAGCATGTTTCTCCCTCTGCCTGTGTGTCTGCCTCTCTCTCTCTCTGCATCTCTCATGAATAAATAGATAAAATCTTAAAAAAAAAAAAAAAGGAACAAAAACTTCTATAGGAAAAAAATGGAAAATGACTTGAACAGGCATTTCACAAAAAAAGATCCTCAAATTTACCATAATATATGCAAAAATATTCAACCTTATTAGTTAGAAATGAAATGCTAAAGAAATCCACAATGCAATACCACTACATGCCTACAAATGGCTCTAATGAAAAAGACAGGCAACACTAAATGCTGGTGAGAATGGGGAGCAACTGGAAATCTCATACATTGCTGGAGGGATCAGAAATCAGTACAAGCACTTTGGAAAACAGGCTGGCAACCTCTACAAAAGGTCATGATCTCAGGGTCCTGAGTGAACCCGAAGTTGGGCTCCACGCTCAGCTGCTTGGGATTCTTTCTCCCTCTGCCCCTACCCCATTCATGCTTGCTCACTCTCTCTCTCTCCAACTCTCTCCAAAAAAAAAAAAAAAAAGTGACTTATTCATGCAATGGAATACTGCATAGTAGCAATAAAAATGAACTACTGCCACATGCATTAACATAAATGAGTATCAAAAATAAAATGTAATCTTGATATAACAAGGCCAGAAGAAAAGTAAAAACTATATAATTCCATGGGGCTCCTGGGTGGCTGTATGATTCCATTTACATAAAGTTAAAAAGCAGGCAAAACTAATCCACGGTATTAGGAATCCTAACAGTGGTTAGTTTGTACAGAGGTCAAGATCGAGAAAGGCAAGGGCTACCTATGGAGTCTTAGGCATGTTGCATCTCTAGATTTGGGTGTCAGTTACATGGGGTGCTCACATGAAAACTCGCGGAGTTGTACTCATTTCATTATACCACCTCTACCTATAAACACAGTTTTAAACCATCTCCATGTATTTTTAACAATTGAGGGGATCCCTGGGTGGCGCAGTGGTTTGGCGCCTGCCTTTGGCCCAGGGCGCGATCCTGGAGACCCGGGATCGAATCCCACGTCGGGCTCCCGGTGCGTGGAGCCTGCTTCTCCCTCTGCCTGTGTCTCTGCCTCTCTCTCTCTCTCACTGTGTGCCTATCATAAATAAATAAAAATTTAAAAAGAAAATTAAATACAATTGTTTTAATCTCTGCTGACACATACCCTTCATGTTAGTCCTGATCAAGCATGTCAGGAGTGGGGAAGTAGAGTTAATAAAAAAGATTTTCAGGGTCACCTGGGTGGCTCAGTAGTTGAGCATCTGCCTTTGGCTCAGGTCATGATCCCAGTGTCCTGGGATCAAGTCCTGAGTCAGGCCCCTGGGAGAACTTGCTTCTCCCTCTGCCTATGTCTCTGCCTCTCTCTCTCTGTTTCTCATGAATAAATTTTAAAAATCTTTTAAAAAAAATTTTTTTCATTCATTTTACGTTGACTGAATTACCATAATCATTATCAGTTAAACTTAATGCACAGTACTTTACATACTACCCAGTAAAGATAATGAAGACAAGGGTCCCTGGGATCCAATATTTCAAAACAGAAGTAAATAAGCCTATTAATTAACGCCCAACTAGTGAGTAGTTCCTTTATTTATTTTAATTAGGTAAGTAATAATATACATTGTAACAAATTAAATGCAGAAGCAAACATAAAAGAGCCTGCCCTGTCTCTCCCCAATCTCACATACCTATTAAACATACACACACACAGAATTTTTCCTTTTTTTAGATATGTGTTACTATTACTATTGTTGTTTGCTTCCTTTTTTAAAAAATGAGATCAAGGGACTCCCGGGTGGCTCAGTGGTTGAGCTTCTGCCTTTAACTCAGGTCATGATCCCAGAGTCCTGGGATCAAGTCCCACATCGGACTCCCCTCAAGGGAGCCTGCTTCTCCCTCTGCCTGTGTCTCTGCTTCTCTGTGTCCTCATGAATAAAAAAATAAAATCTTAAAAAAAAAAAGAAATGAGATCAATTCTATTGTACACATTACCCAACTTATTTTTGCACAGAACACACCACAGATGTCTTTCTGTGTCAATACCTGTAGATCTAGCCCATTCTTATGAATGAATAAATTCCATAATTTACTCAACCATTTTCTAACTTATGGGCATGTATCTGTTTCCACTTTGTGGTCTTAAAATATTATTCTAAAAGCCTAAAGGATGGGGCACCTTGTGACTCAGTCGGTTAAGCATTTGACTCTTGATTTCACCTCAGGTCATGATCTTAGAGTCCTGAGACCAAGCCCCACCTCAAGTGGGGTCAGGCTCCATGCTCTGCATGGAGTTGGCTTGTCCTTGTCCGTCTCCCTTTGCCCTGCTTGCACACACGTGTGTGTGTGTGTGTGTGTATGTGTGTCTCTCTCAAAATAAATACATAAATAACCTAAAGGACCAAAGCTTTTATTTTTGATAGAATGGATTTCTAAAGATTATCAGTATATTTAAATCAGATATAACAATTCACAGTCCCACCAGCAATATAAAAGCATGCTGCTTTATCACTGGCCATCACCAGACACTTATTCTCATTTCTGCCAATCTGTAGTCAAGAAATGATTATCTCTATATTTTGTTTGCATGTTCCTAAATTCATCTTCAGTAATTCTCATTTATTCATCTGAGACGTGACATTTTTCTATTGGGTTGTCTCTCCCTTTTTGTAATCAATTTTTTTTAATGTTTAAATCTAGCATTTAAGTCAAAATGCATAGAAGTCAGGAAAGTTACTCTATTTTGCTCAGTTCAGCATCCCCACAACTGAGGACAGTGCCTGTCATATGGTATAATGTGTCTCCTAAAGGTGTACTGAGTGAATAAATACGGAATATCAATCCTTTTAAAAATATATTAGAAATATTTTCTCCTGGCTTATCAATTTGTTTAGGTGGTCTCTAGTTATATGAAGATTTTGTTGATAATGATGATGTTTACGAAACAAATATATCTTTATTTTCTTTATAGCTTCACACTTTCCTCCTTTAAGGGAAGGAAGCTGGAGATTTCCCCATCCAGAGGTATTAAAAATATTTATCGAAGTCTTCTTTTAATATTTTATAGGGATTTTTTAAAAATATTTGAATCTTCAACTAGAATTTTTTATGGTGGGAGGAGGACATCTCTAACTTTATTTTATTCCAAATGGAGAGCCAATTATGTCACCCTTTAATCAATGAATTGAAATATTGTTACCTTATATAGTATCTTTCTTGATTCTGTTCTAAACTCTCCTTTTTATCCCACTGAGCTGTTTCCATCTTCCTAAGCAATACTACAACATTATGACTATAGTCAGTTAATACTAAGTTCAAATCTCTGATAGTCAAGGTCATCTATAATCTCTTTTGAATTCTCATACTTTTCCTCTTCAGTATGAACTTCTCATTCAATGCATTCTACACACAGAAAAAAAATCTATTATGATTGGGTTTTCACTGATCCTGCTGATAGCTGATTTTCATTTCACAATAGATATTTTCTACTAAGACATCTTTATCAAAGCTCATATCTCTTAAAATATTTATAAAATGAGTTTTTTATTTATTTCTGTTGATGTTTTTTATTTCTGTTGATTATTAATGGCATTTATCATTATGGATTATATTTACTTGATCCATAAAACAATTTACAATTCTAAAACATAGTCTCTGTTTCCACTTATTTCCAAAAATAGTTATGTTGTTATTTGGCTACTATGTCAAGAAAGAAGAATTACATTACTTGTAAAATAATTCAAAATTCTAAGTCATACTTAGAAGGAAAATATTGTATGCCAACAAAGAATAAGACAGAGCTTGAGAAAGTGATTTTTTTCCCACAACATATTAGTTGAATAGACTTTTTTTTTAAGATTTTATTTATTTGAGATAAATACAGCACAAGCTGGGAGTAAAGGGAGAAGAAGGCTCTATGCTGAGCCAGGAGCCCAAGGCAGACATTTAACCGAGTCACCCAGGTGCCCCTGAAGAGATAATCTTTATAGCAAAGGGAACAAACACAATTGTTTGTGATTTAAAAACGTTTTTGTTGTTGTTTTACTTACTTATCCCTTAAACTAGGGATCTGAAATAAGGAATCATGAAATTGTTTTTACTTCACATCAAGAGACAAAATACAGCACTGAGTATTGAAATGTGTTTCCCATTCTTTTCTCCAGGATATTTATTCCATTTCCTTCCTTCTTAATACCAAAATATTTTGACAATGGTCCTATAATGATATAGCACCTGGCCTGGTAACAGAGACAACCAAACTCTACATCTAGCTGTACTTGCTAGAGACACTGGAGCAAGACAAACCTCATTAAGCCAGTTCACCGCTTTAGGCCTCAAGAAACTGAACTAGACAATCGTTCATGTCCATTCTAGTTCTCAGATTCAATGACAGTTCTAAGTGTTTTAAAGTTTACCATTTACATCAGATGATATAGATAACTCAGAATTAAGTTCAAAGAATCAGTAGATTAAAGCAGTTTTTATAAAAGCAATTTGCCTTCCCATTCCTCCATTAAAATGATGAACTACAGTTGACCCTTGAGCAGGGGTTTAAACCACATAGCTCCACTTTATATGCAGATTTTTGTTGATAAATACAGCACAGTGGGGACCCCTGGGCGGCGCAGCGGTTTAGTTAGCAGCCTGCCTTCAGCCCAGGGCGTGGTCCTGGAGACCCGGAATCGAGTCCCACATCAGGCTCCTGCATAAAGCCTACTTCTCCCTCGGCCTGTGTCTCTGCCTCTCGCTCTCTCTGTCTCTCTCATGAATAAATAAAATCTTAAAAAAAAAAATACAGCACCATACTGTCAACGTATTTTCTCTGCCTTACAATTTTCCTAATAACATTGCTTCCTGTTGCTTGTTATAAGAATACAGTATATAATACAACATACAAATTATGTGATAATTGTTTATGTTATCAGTAAGGCTTGCAGTGAAGAGTAAGCTGTTAGTAGTTAAGCTTTGGGGGAGTCAAAAAGCTATACATGGATTTTTCAGCTGCGCATGGGTGGGCACTCCTAAACCCCCCATTGTTCAAGGGCCAACTGTATTTATATGTGGGTTACAAAAGTGAAAGCTATTTCAGTGAAGATGCGTGAGTTGCTAATCAACTTCCATATTCACCATCTAATGACTTAGAGTCTGCCATTTGATTTCTGACATAAAAACTCACCTAGTCAAAAAAAAAAAAAAAAACAACTCACCTAGTCCTTAAAATGTTATTTGCAGATAAGACTTTGGTACTTTAGAAAATGGAGCTGTACATATTTTTGTAAGGAGTCATGAAAGGAGGAAGTAAAGGCATGCTCTTTATATGCTAATAGATTTTCTCAAGCTTTTTCTGAAGATTGGGTTGAGGGTGACGTTGGGACAAGGGGGAAATGATAAGTGGGGAGAGGGAGATGGAAAAGTGAGCTGGGGAAGATAAGAGAGGACTAATCACAAACTTTGTGATTTACCTGGGAAAAGTTTTAAGGCACAACTGAATTATGCTCTGGAAAACATTTATACATTTTATAATGAGGTTAGAGCATCTACAATGATGACAGGTCTCACTGATAAAGCAGGAAGTTTCACTTTTTGAAAAGAATTTCCTATTGTTTTCTGTGCTTTCAAAAATCTTAGTTTAAGATCAAGGGTCACAAACAGAATAAATCTGATAACTGAACCCACTACCTGGGAAATTCTGGTAAAATTGAGGAGCTTTCGTTAATTATTCACATAATTAAATTTCCTGCTTAACTTGATGAGTCTTGGCCAAACTTGACTTGAGTATCACTTCTTGAGGGTTGATGGCTTCGGGAAGACAAAGAACACGTTTCTCTATAAATTCCTCTGATATGGGGCACCTGGGTGGCTCAGTCAGTCAAGCATTTGCCTTCCGCTCAGGTCATGATCCCAGGACCCTGGGATGGAGCCTGGACTGGGCTCCCTGCTCAGCAAGGTCTGCTTCTCCCTCTCCCTCTGTGTCTCTATCTTCCCCTGCTTGTGTGCACGCTCTCTCTCTCTCAAATAAAATCTTAAAAAAAAAAAAACCTCCTTTGATAAAATCTTAACATGAATCAGAATGAAGCAGTTATTATACAGGTATTATGCATCTATGAAAAGTAGTGATTCATACAATCCAGTGAATCAGATTAAAAACCATTCCGATTATGGTGTAACTTTTTTTAGTTTAAAGCAAGAAGGATGAAAACTAGTTACCCCAAGATCCTGAGCCGCTGTTTCCCTTGCATGAGTGGTGTGAATTTGGGAGAGAGGGATGTGTTTTTTCCCTCCACAAAGGAGAGCTACGTTTTTGAAAGTCCCTGATGAGGGATCCCTGGGTGGCGCAGTGGTTTGGTGCCTGCCTTTGGCCCAGGGCGCGATCCTGGAGACCCGGGATCGAATCCCGCGTCAGGCTCCCGGTGCATGGAGCCTGCTTCTCCCTCTGCCTGTGTCTCTGCCTCTCTCTCTCTCTCTCTCTCTCTCTCTCTCTCTCTCTCTGACTGTCATAAATAAATTTAAAAAAAATTAAAAAAAAATAAAGTCCCTGATGAAGCAAATCGCTCTCTCATCCCTCAAGACGGACCCAGATGGTTTCAAACGATAGAAGCACCTGTGAAGTGGAAGTAGATATGAAGACACTATTGTTTAAAAAGCCCCTATTTGTTCCCTGTCAGCACCATCCACACCTCTTAGAGCTTGCCCAAAGGAAAAGCTAAATTTATATTTGCCGAGTTTTTGTTTTTTTTTTTTTTTTTTAATGAATGAATCATTCTGAGTGCCTGTGCTACGTAGATGGTTTTGCAAAGAGGAGTGCAGGAACTCCTCCCACCTCGTTCCTATCTTTTCCTGGATGTCCGTTAGGGTGCACAGAACACCTTCCCAAATGGGAGGTGGCCAGAGGTGGTAACAGACCCAGGAGCCAGGCCCCTTCCTCCCAAATTACCAGCAGGCGTCCACAGAAAAGCCTCTAGGAACCTGCGAGTGGTCACTGGCATTGCCAAACCGTCACCACGTAACTCCTCTACAGCGACCCTCTGAAACAGCAAATCACTGGAATGACCTGCTCCAGGTCGCAAAGAAATCCCCTGCGCCTCAGACCCCTGAACAGCCCAGCTCCCAGGGGAGAGCGCAGCACCTGGCCCCCGGGGTCTGTCAGGACTCTTTCACAACCTCCCTGGGCTTAACCGCTGGGTTAGGAAGGGCGGCCAGGCCCCCCGACTGCTGGGCTGCGGTACGAGGAGGGCACCTCGGGGTCACCACCGTGGCCCTCGGGACGGACGCAGCACGCGCTGCCTGGCGGGCGGGGGGAGGGGGGAGCCCTGAGGTTACGGCCTGGGGCTTTCCGCTCCCGGCGGCCGGCGTTCGCTACCAGAGGACAAAGGGGGTGGCGGTCGGGGGCGGGACGGGGTGGGGGTCGGGGCAGGGGGGTCGGTCGGGTTGGGGGCAGGGGCGGGACGGGGTGGGGGTGGGGGTGGGGCGGGACGGGGTGGGGATGGGGTGGGGTCACCCTGACTTCCCGGCGCTTTAAATCGGAAGGCATCCCTCGCTGCCCAGAACCAGGCCGACGTCTGGGGGACGAAGCTGCCCCCACCCACGACGTGCCGAGCTCCAGACCCGGCAGCCCTTCCCGTGCATCGTGCAGACAACGGGCCGCCCTGGGCGACGCAGGTCGCGCCTCCAAACCCGGGCCCCGCGGGGGGCGAGCGCGGCCCAGTTCGCCTTGGCCCAGGCCCCGCGCGCCCACTCACCAGCTTGGTGGCCCGGTACGGCCCGGGGCCCACGAGGCGGTGCTCCATGGCCGGTACCCGCGGCGGCGGCGGCGGCGGCGGCCGCCCCAGCGCCGAGCCCCGCGCCGCAGTTTGAATCGCGAGCCCGAGCGCTGCGGGCGCTGATTGGGCGGCGCGGCGGCACGTGACGGGGCTTCGGGGCGGGGCCCGGTGGGCGGGGCGGGGCCTCAGCGCGGCGGGGGCCGACCCTGGGCCGCCTGACCCCCGCCCCCCCGCCCGCGCCCCCTCGGCCACCGGGTGGACGCGGGTGTGCGACCTGGTGACGGGAAGGGCGGCCCGGGTGGTGGGATCCCACGTCCGCTGCACCCAGGCCGGTGCTGCCAGTCGGTTGGGGCGGGCGGGCAGGGAAATGAAGCGAGCGACGGCCTCTCCAAGGGGGCGACCCTGAAGCTTGGGGGCGGGCCCTGGGCTCCCGGGAGTGCACCACGCAGCTGCACAGGAGCCCCGATTCAGCGTCCCTTTTTTGTCCTTTCGGGAGAGTCCTCCACCTCTTGAATTCTGTGTTTTATGGCAGCCTGACAACTTCTGTCCTTTGCCATGGCGCTAGGTCTGTTTTACTGCTCAGGATTTTCCTCCTAGGAACCGCTGGTCTGATTTGCTGTTGTTACAAGGGATAAATCAGGTCTACACCTGCAACTCGAGTTCAGAGTTCAAATGTGAGGCGGGGGGGGGGGGGGCGGTGCTTGCTATTTGGTCACCTCAGTGAATACCCAGGATAAGCTATCATCACAGAAACCTGGGTCAGGGGCGCCTGGGTGGCTCAGTGAAGTGGCTACCTTTTGCTGGGGTCACGATAGCAGGGTCTTGGGGGCTGCTTCTCCCTCTGCCTCTGCTGTCTCGGCCCCTTCCCACCCACCCCCCAGCTCTGCAAGCTCCCCCTCTTTCTCTCTCTCTCTCTCTCTCTCTCTCTCAGATAAATGAAGTCTTTTTAAATATCTGTGTAGAAGACCAGACTCCCAACTTCATAACACCCCTCCTATTTAACTGCATTTTAGAAAGCCCCCTCCCCAAATTCTGAAATGACAGGTATGTATTACTTTTTCAATCAGAAAAAGCAGTAAAGACAATATAAAGATAATTTTTGCCTTCAACGAATGAATTCTTTTTCAAAAGATTCCAATGGAGCACAAGAGGAAGAAGAAAATGACTTCAGAACCTTTTCCATCTGGGGCCTGTCACCACCAGCCACGACTGTGGAACCGGGATTTGAAACAAAATGCCAGGCCTTGCTTCCTGAGCATTTTCTCAAGAGTCCATCATGAGATATAGACAAGATAATTCCTTTTACTGGAAAATGGTATCTCCAAATGATCTACACATCTGAGGCCACCGTCTTCACGAATGTACTTTAAATTTGGCTGCTGATAAGCTACCAGTCTTTCAGCATCACATAAAAACGATTGGGAAATTTCTGTGCACATTCTTCTCAACCATGTTTAAGTGCAAGGCCAACAGGATCCTGTAGAAGCTTTGACTCAGCCTCAGAACATCTTTATAAGGTATTGAGTACTGGCAATTTCACCATCACCAGCTGACTTGCCACTGACATTAGGAAATGCCAAGCTGTGGAGCAAAAAGCAGTATAGGCATCAAGTGTATTATGGGGTTGGAAATTGTGTTTCTCAATCACTGAGTAGGGAGTGGTTGGGAGCAAGGCCTTCACTGCCAAGAGAGTTCCTGACTGTCACATTCAATCCTTCTACTGCCTGAAAGGTCTCCCAGCCAGTTGGATGGGTCGTTTTGAAAGAACTCCTCTGCTGAAACCCACATCACTGGCTGCTTACGTTGGACTTTGGCCATTTAGATTGTACTGCAACTGCATTCAGCTGTGTTCCTTGGCATTGAAGTCATGAAGACAGTCCATGTGCTGAGGTTCTTAAAAGTTGTAAAATCCTATGACTTGAGCTCCAGAGCTATTGGTCTGTATTATGACTGCTCTACTGGGAAATGTTCCTCTTCCCCCCCTCCGCCCCGAAACTATATTAATACTCTTTACTAATAGGGGCATCATATTCTTTGGAGATACGGTCAATGAAGAAAGGCTAAAGATATTTGGAAAATGTAACACCATACTATTTCATCAAAACTGTTAACTCATTTTTATTTCAGCATTTAAAAAATAAATACCACAAAAAATAGAGATTTACATGCATTCATTCACTTATTCGATATGCATGAGTTCCTACAATGTGCTGGGCACTGTTCCAGTCACTGGAATATTATTTCAGGAGAAAAGACAAAGTCCCTGTTCCCAGAAGCTGACATCCTAGTAGGGGGAGGAGGCAGCAAGCCAACTATACACATAAAAATATATATAATTTATCAGGCAGTAATTGAGTGTCAGGAAGAAAACTAAAAGAAGAAAAAGGAGAGGATGGTGGAGACAGGGATGTTATTTTGGCTCAGGTGGCCAGGGAAATTTGAGCAAACAATCTGAGTCAAATAAAGGAGTAGCTGTCTAGGGGAGGACCTTCTAAGCTGATGGGATAATGGCCCATGTTAAAGTCTGACGTGAACACATGATTGCCACATCTGGGGAACATGGAAAGGAGGCCTGTGTTCACTGGAGTGGAGTGAGTGAAAGGGGTGGGGGGGATGGGTTTGGACAAAAAGAGAAGAGCTCTTTAGGTCACATTATGGGTCAAGGGATTTGGCTTTTACTCCAAATTGGTTGAAAATGTTTTAGAAAGTTTTGAGAGCGTGTCAAGATCTCAATAGGTTTTTTTAAAGTACCGCTCTGGCCACTGTGTGGGTAATGGACTGGAATGGGGGTAGGTGTGGAGTGAAGGCAGGAAAACCAGTTCAGAAGCTTGAAATAACCTAGGAGAAAACAATAAATGTGGTTGATACACGGCTTGGCATATAGTGCCTTTCAGCAAGTACTTGTTGAAAGAATAAATGGATGAGCAAGTAAAACTAAGCTTTATAAGTTATTTATCTCCTAAAGATCAATTCATTCTGTCTCTAAGTGTATGTCTTACATGCATAGACTCTGCACTATAATAGCTAACGTTTATATTTTCAATATAACCTATACAATTTGCTACTGAACCTACTATTCTGTTTTGTCTTTTTTTAAAAACAATTATTCGTACCGGCTCCTCCCTTTTGAGTCTGAGGAAACACAATCCATACGTGATGCCTTGTGTTAAAATCACACACACACATACCCCGCTCTTGCCACTTCACAGTCAACCCATTACAGTTCAAAGTTAGCATAATAAAAGCTTTGCCAAGGATATAGCTGACTGGATTCTCATATTTGGGTATAGGTTTATTTTCTCCCACATCCTGACAGTGCCTCTTTGTTGCCATAGCTAAGTATAATACTTTATTTCTAGGAAATCCATTGGATGACAAAAAAAAATTGTAACTAACATTGGTCTGGCCAAGGAATATCAGATCAATTCAGGGAAGAAGATCGTGGAGACAGGAAAGCCATTTAGAAGGTCATTGAATGAACACAGAGCTGAAAATCCAGGAGCAGCAGAGCATTATGAACACAGCTATGAAAGCTTGGGCAAGACTCTTCTGTGTGTCAGTTTTTAATTAAAGAAAAAAAAAGGAAATAGGAGCACCTGGGTGGCTCAGTCAGCTAAGCATCTGCCCTCGGCTTAGGTCATGATCCCACGGTCCTGAGATGGAGCCCCACATTGGGCTTCCTGCTCCGTGGGGAGCCTGCTTCTCCTTCTCCCTCTGCCTACTGCTTCCCCTGCTTGTGCTTGCTCTCTCTTTCTCTCTGTCAATTAAAGAAATAAAATCTTGAAAAAACAGAAAATGGTATCTGCTTCACAGGGCTATTGAAAGACTTAAGAAAATACATGCAGATTTCTTAGAATTCTACTTCCCTTGTGCAGGTGAGCAGAATTCCAAGGTAGTGTCCATGATTCCCAGGCCGATTGTACATACTCCTCCTCCTATTTTTTTCTGTCAAACATGACCTCAGGTACTGCAGCAAAGAGAATTTGCCTATGATATTAAGGTTCCAAATCAACTGACCTTGGTATAGGGAGATTATCTAGATGAGCCTGAGTTAATCACATGAGCCCTTTAAGAAGAGAGTTTTCTCCAGTTGGTTGCAGAAGTCAGAGATTCGAAGTGGAACTGAATTCTGTTACCCTGAATGAACATGGAAGCAGATTTTTTCCCCCAGAGCCTCCACTGGGGAACTTAGCCTGGTGGAGGTCTTGATTTTAGGCTTCTGACATCTGAACAGAGAGCACAGCCACCCCACTCCAGCCTTCTGACCTACTGAACTGTAAGCTAATAGATCAGTATCGTTTTGGGGGGGTTTTAAAAAGATTTTCTTTATTCATTCATGAGCGACACAGAGAGAGGCAGAAACAGAGAGAGAAGCAGGCTCCTCGCAGGGAGCCCGATGTGGGACTCGAACCCTATACCCAAGATCACACCCTGAGCCAAAGGCAGATGCTCAACTGCTGAGCCACCTAGGCGTCCCTATCAATATTGTTTTTAATCATTCAATGTATTGTAATTTTTTATATGACAATAGATAACTGATATATCTTGTATACACAAGCTTTCAATAAATGCACTACATGTAGCACATGGTAGGAGAGGGGATAGTAGAAATGTCAGTATTTAATGAATGGTTAGCTATAGGGATGAGAGAGGAAAAAGCCAAATGTGCCTCTAAATGTCACCTAGAAGACTGGCAGAAAGACTGGACCATCAGCCACCAGTGAAACAGGATTTATCTGGGTAAGCAAGAAGGAACAAAGAGAAGAGATTTGACTCTTCATAAGAATCACCACAGTAGTTTGCTTAAAATTCAGTTTTATGGGAATGCCTTGGTGGCTCAGTCAGTTGGGCATCTGCCTTGGGCTCAGGTCTTGATCCTGGGGTCCTGGGATTGAGCCCCCCCCACCCCGAGTCAGGCTACCTGCTCAGCGGGGAGCCTGCTTCTCCCTCTCCCTCTGCCTGCCACTCCCCCTGCTTGTGCTCTCTCTGACAAATAAATGAATAAAATTTAAAAAAAATAAAAATAAAATTCAGTTGTATGGATTCTATCCACAGAGGTACCTACAGGTATCTATATTCCATAGGGTTGTTTTTATGGTTTGACTCCTTACCAGTGACTACAGAATCCATGACT